GGCTGCAACCAAAAAAAGAATAGCTGGGCTTTGTGGAGGGCACCTATGGTCTGAGCTACTCAGGAGACTGATGCAGGAGACTCACTTGAGCCCAGGAGTTGGAGGTTGCTGTGAGCTGTGATGCCACGGTACCTACCCAGGGGGACAGCTTGAGGCTCCTGTCTCAAAAATAAATAAATAAATAAATAAATAAATAAATAAATAAAATAAACTGGGAAATGCTAAGCACACAGGAAATGATCTGGCTAAAATGCCCCACAAGTGAGGAAAGGGGACACCCACAACTGTCTGCTCCTCCCACGATGTGCACTGCTTTAGACCTGCAGGTTAGCACTTGCATCCGTGAACTTCGAGAGAACACAGACATAAACATTTGCCCTTGTGTCCTCAGCCATGGGATGACTGGTGGAAGTGGAGAGGGTGGTGAATGTTTGAGGCTTCAGGGAAGAATCCATGCAAAGCTTCTAGAAAGTCATAAGCTGATGGTGAGTGAATTCCTCACCCTGCCAACTCAGTGCTGGCTCCCAGAGCACCAAACAGCCCCAGGGGTTTTATTTCAGGACAGTCTACTCTCCAAGCCAGGCAACAGTCCCTCACTGCATTCCTCCTTCCCCCAGACCTGTCCTTCAACAACATTGAGACCATCGAGGGGCTGGACACACTGGTGAACCTGGAGGATTTAAGCCTGTTCAACAACCGGATCTCTAAGATTAATTCTTTGGACACCCTCGTCAAGCTGCAGGTGTTGTCACTGGGCAACAACCAGATTAGCAACATGATGAACGTGAGTGGCTGCCATACCCTCCCGAGCATAGGCCAGCTGGGGCTGGGATGGAAGAGGCCACAGCTGTGAGCTAGAAAGGGGTCAGCAGCAAGGGGCAGCACAGGCCTAGTGTTCCAGAGAAGCCAGGAATCCAAATCATTCTACGAGGGGTTTAAGTCCCATGTTCAACCCCATGTAGTTATCTGAGGGTAGCAGTTTAGGAGCTCCGCAACAGTGGAGTCGCTTTCTTTTCCTGAGTCTCAAGGCACATGTAACAAACATTTTTGCTGTTGGCTGTGGGGCATATGTCCTGTGTTCAGTGGGTACAGAGACAAATAAGGTGTTGGCCCGTCAGGGGTGACCAGCACACAAGGTGTCCCAAGGAGCAAGGCCTGTGGGCAAGGAAGGGCACCCTAGGTGTGTGTGAATGACAGTGGACCCTGGTCTCTCAGGAGAAAGCAAGCTGAACCCCACACACCCCCCACAGTGAGCTCACAGCAGTGGGATGAGGCTGAGACCCTAGCAGCTGGGGGTGTGGTAGCAGCCATAAGAGTTTTCTGTCAGAGGTGACCTAGCCTTGACCTTACCAGATGGCTCCTGGCCTGCTTCTCCAGCCCACCAATCCTAGGGGATGTCCAGAATCCTTTAAAAATTCCTTTACTGTTTAGGACAGTCACACGGCCTGGGTTCATGTCTGGGTAGCTTAGATGGATGGCCTGGGTGGGTCATTACCAAGTTGTGACCTGTGTGTAAGTCTCAGAAGTTTGCCCTGCACTGAGACAGGAAGATGTAAACCCAACTAAGGCTGTACTTTCTATACCTCAATTTCCTTGTCTATAAAATGGGGATAGCGGCAGTTACCCCCCTGCCCAGGTTCTTGAAGGAATCACATGAAGTTATGGACTTAAAGCACCTGGCTCAGTGCCAGGTGAGTATATATATATATATATTTTTTGAGACAGAGTCTCGTTTTGTTGCCCTCAGTAGAATGCTGTGGCATCATAACTCACAGCAACTTCAAACTCCTGGGCTCAAGTGATTCTCTCGCCTCAGCCTCCCAAGTAGCTGGGACTATAGGCACCTGCCACGACACCCAGCCATTTTTAGAGATGAGGTCTCCCTTTTGCTTGATTTTGAACTGGTGAGCTCAAGCAATTCACCTGCCTCAGCCTCCCAGAGTGCTAGGATTACAGTTGTGAGCCACCATGCCTAGCCTAGAGTATATTCTTAACAAATAGAGGACTGTTATAGCCAAGGTCTCTCCTACGATAGTGGTGGGACAAGGAGTGACTTGATTCAGACTCACTAAGAGATGATTAGAATGTTGCCATCAGCAGAAGGAAAAGGAAAAGGCTTCCCAGAGGAAGGATACTTTGAGCAGGAGCCTGGAGGGGCTCTGGGAACACCTCCCTGCTGGGCACTGGAAGAAGTCAAGCGTGTATGGTGCAGGGGGTACCCAGGGTATGGCTGTGGCTTTGCAGCCGACAGGTGGAAAGGCCTAAGAAGTGGTGGAAGCAGAGGAGGCTCTGTGCTCACATGTACTCAGGGACAGATCTACATTTAGGGAGGAATCCACCACCAGGAGGATGCATCCAAGGGAGACTATGTGAATGGGTTAACCCAGGACGGTGCCACCAGAAAGGATGTTGTGCCTGCAGGTAACAGAAAAGGTTGCCCCAAACTAGCTGGAAGCAGAGCTGAGGCAGGGGCTTGGGTGCAGCTGGTTAACTTGGGATGTGGCTTCAGGAAGTCAGAGTAAGCGAGGGGGAAAAGCAACATGCAGGGTGTCCCCAAGGCTGATGCTCCAGCGATGTGCCCTGACATCCCCCGGTGTCCCCAAGGCTGCTGCTCCAGCGATGCGCCCTGATTCCCCCCGGTGTCCCCAAGGCTGATGCTCCAGTGATGCACCCTGACTCCCTGGGTGTCCCCAAGGCTGCTGCTCCAGCGATGTGCCCCGACTCCCCCTGGTGTCCCCAAGGCTGCTGCTCCAGCAATGCGCCCCGACTCCCCCGGGTGTCCCCAAGGCTGCTGCTGCCAGTGATGGACCTCTGGGCCTCAGAGAGCCCAGAGTGCCTCCTAGAGGCAATCACCTCAGGACTGGAGCCTGATACTTTGGTCCTCCTAACAACTGAGGGACACCCCAGGGGGCTTCACTCGCTCCCCTACCTGGCTTCTGTGGCCTCAGAGACCTCTCTGAGGCAGACAGTGAGTAATGAAGTGGGACGCCGGCAGCACAAGTCTGTCACAGCTATGGCTGAAGCCCAAAGTTAGCTGAGCAACTGCTGCAATAAGGGCATTTAGTGGCATGATTATTGGCACTGGGGCGCAGGTGATGGTTGTTGCGGTACAGCTTCAAGGACACAAGTTTCTTCCACTTCTGGGCTCTGCTGCCCTCAGCATCTCCCCAAAGCTCACTCTCTTGGTGGTTGCAATCAAGGCTATAGGCTTCCTTGTCTACATCTAGCAGGGTAGAAACAGCAAGAAATTTGCCCCCAACAGTTGATTGTGTTATTGTAGGGCCTGCACTGACCCTTGGAGTTGGGGGGGTGACCAGCAGGGTGGTTTGGATGAATGACCTGGTCAAGCCCTGAGTTATAACCTGTGTTTTTTTTTTTGTTTGTTTGTTTGTTTGTTTTGAGACAGAGCCTCAAGCTGTCCCCCTGGGTAGAGTGCCATGGCATTACAGCTCACAGCAACCTCCAACTCCTGAGCTCAAGCGAGTCTCCTGCCTCTGCCTCCCAAGTAGCTGGGACCACAGGCGCCTGCCACAACGCCCGGCTATTTTTTGGTTGCAGCTGTCATTGTTGTTTGGCGGGTCCGGGCTGGGGATTCGAACCCGCCACCTTAGGTGTACGTGGCTGGCTCCTTAGCCGGTTAAGCTATAGGCGCCGAGCCATAACCTGTGTTTTTAAGTCTGTCCAGCAGAGCCAAAACCCAGAGGCCATGTAGTCTCATAAGTTTGCCCTGTGCCACATAGAGGGTGCAGGCAAATGAGTCAAGAGCTGAGATGTGTCCTGCTTACATTCAAGCCTCACAATGCCACATACCAGCTGCCTGGCCTTGACCAATGACTTTGAGTTCTGGGTGCTCATTTGCTCATCTGCAAAATGGGAATAATAGTAGTTCCAGGCTCAGTGCCTATAGCTCAGTGACTGGGGCGTCAGCCACGTGCCTGGAGCTCACAGGTTCTAACCCAGCCCAGGCCTGCCAAACAACAACTACAACCAAAAAATAGCCAGGCATTGTGGTGGGCGCCTCTAGTCCCAGCTAATAGAGAGGCTGAGACAAAGGAAATGCTTAAGCCCAAGAGTTGGAGGTTGCTGTGAGCTGTGATGCCACAGCATTCTACCGAGGGTAACAGTGAGACTGTCTCAAAAAAAAAATAATAGTTCCTACTCCATGGAGTTGTTGTGAAGACTGAGTCAGTTAAAGAGCATTTCATGCCTTATATAGGGCCTGGCCCATAGTAGGTACATGGAAAATGATATTATTTAAGAATTTTCAGAGTAAGGGTTAACCTCAAAGAAACTCAGCCTTGCTGCTTAAAAATATTTCTGAGCATATAACAGATGTTCCTTCCTGAGTAGGTCCTTTACACCAGGGCTTACACAGGAACTCAACTCCTCTGATTTGTTTTCCTTTGGGCATTTGGAGACTTTAATGGACCTGAGGCCACATCCCTCTGAAGGCCCAGGCCTGGGCACGAGAGGGTGTTGGGTATGGAGGTAGACATGTCTGGGCCCTGCCTGGATGCCCCACTTCCCCTTTGCTATGGATATGGGACTGGACAGGAGGAAATCCTATCACCCTTTCCTATCCTATCACCCAGGGTGTGCTGGGTGCCAGGTGGCTCCTTGTGAACATGGGAGAAGCCAGTAACACCAGTCCCCAGAGAGAAAGAGGATGAAAGAAGGCCCCTGGGAGAAGCTGCCAGGAATGCTGATGTCTCTGGGCCAGATGTTCCTAAGACGTGGCCATATCCTGGGGAACCTAGGGATTCTTGGGACCCTGGATCCTTTTCACCTTTTCAGGCACCAGCCTTCTTGGTTTCTTGATCCAGAGTGTCCTGACTGATGCCTCTCAGTTATTAGCCTCTAACCCTGAACATCTTTAATTTCAGTCCTTATCTGCACCATTTATCTGATGTCTAATTATACATCTTCTTGTATCTATTTATTTGCTAGGCTTATTTTTGTTTCTGCTCCTTTCATTAAAAACAAACATATAGACTGGGCACAGTGGCTCATGCCTGTTATTACAGCACTTTTTATTTTTTGTCACCCTCAATAGAGTGCTGTGACGTCCCAGCTCATAGCAACCTTCAACTCTTGAGCTTAAGCGATTCTCTTGCCTCAGCCTCCCAAGTATTGGACTTACAGGCGCCTGCCACAATGCCCAGCTATTTTTAGAGATGAGGTCTCGCCCTGGCTCAGACTGGTCTTAAACTGGTAAGCTCAAACAATCCACCCACCTTGTCTCCCAGAGTGCTAAGATTATAGGTGTGAGTCACTGCACCCGGCCTTATTACAGCAGTTTAGGAGGCAAAATGGGAAGGATTATTTGAGGCCAAGAGTTTAAGACCAGCCTGGGCAACATAGCAGGACACTCTCTTTATAAAAAGTTAAAAAAAAAAAAATGGCAGGCTTATTGGCACATGCCATAGTCCCAGCTACTCAGGATGCTGAGGCAGGAGGATCGCTTGAGCCCAGGAGTTCAAGGCTGCAGTGAGCTAAGATGACCCCACTGCACTCTGAATTGGGTAACAGAGTATGACTCTGTCTGAAACAAAACAAAACAGAATAGACATTTAATCAGATGCTTAAGCACATAGGGAAGAGCGTCTCTCACTTCTAGCCTCTTACCCTGCTTCCCATTCCAGAGGCCCCAGCTGCTTTTGGGTTGCACGTGTGTCTTTCCAGGAGTCTTGTGTTTAAACATTGCGTGTGATTGTCACGCCTGCCACCTACCCTCTAAGCACCTGCCTTTGGTGTCCCTCTCTGCTGGATCATTCTATCACTCAGATGCAGCTTGATGTACGTTTCTAGTTCAAGGTAGGTAGATGTCAAGGTTGTTTCCAACCTGATGCTACTACACACAGGCTGTAGCGGATATCCTTGGACAGGGGTTACTTTGCACCTGAATAAGCCATCTGTAAGATAAATTCCTACTGGGGAAGTGCTAGGTCAAAAGGGCATATGCATTTTAAATTTCCATAGATCTTGCCAACTTACCCTTTACAGACCTGGACAAGGTGGTCTGTTTATGCTGTCTTCTACTTCATTACCAAATGTATCTCTTTGCCATCTGAAAGATAAACAATGGACTCTCATTGAGAGATCTCTTAAAAATTAAATTAGATCCTGTCTCTCCCACATCATACACACTTAAAACTCCAGTGACTTCTGTTGTGCTTAGAATAAAATCCAAACTTTTGACCACAGCCTGCATGGTCTTACTTCAACCAGCCACTGACCTTGTTTTGTCCAATCTCATCTCAAGGGTACTATAGGCACCCTGGCCTTGGCTCAGTTCCAAGCTCTTTCCCGTCTGAGCCCTCTGCTTGTGCTATATGGCTGCCTCGAGTGTGCTTTCTGCTCTCCCATAGCTGGCTCCCATGGGTTTCAGATTAAATGTCACCTCCCCAGAGAGACCTGAGTTCCCTAACTGAAAAAGGACTCCCTGGCACCTGTGGTTCAGTGGGTAGGGCGCTGGACCCATATACCGAGGGTGGCAGGTTCAAACCCGGCCTGGGCCAAACTGCAACAACAACAAAATAGCCAGGAGTTGTGGCGGGCGCCTGTAGTCCCAGCTACTCAGGAGGCTGAGGCAAGAGAATCGCCTGAGCCCAGGGGTGAGAGGTTGCTGTGAGCTGTGTGCTGCCATGGCATTCTACTGAGGGTGACAAAATGAGACTCTGTCTCTACAAAAAAAAAAGAAAGAAAAAGGACTCTCTATTATTTTCCCTCATGGGGCCATTTTTATGTTCCTTACCCTAAACCCTAGTGATTTTATTTAATGTTTGAAGCTGTTGCTGTAAGAGCAGGGACCACATGGGTTTTGTCTCCCACATCACCTCCCAGGCCTATCACGTGCCTAAGGCCTGCCAGGTGCCTGATCATATTTGTTGAACAAATGAACAAATAAATGACTGA